TGGGCGGATGCAGAATTCAAACTTCAACACTAGAGGGCAGTAGGCAACTTTGTTGGCGTCTTCGCATTCTGTAGATTAAAAAAATGTATTAGGAAGGTGTTATTATATTTCTCATTACGTTCATTACATGGGGACATGGCTATCAAAATAACTATGGTCTGCTAATGAAGAAGTTAAAAATATTAGTTTTTACCAAAAATGAGACACCGATATCCACTAAAATTAGAGAATTCAACATCACAGCTTCAGCTTTTAAAAAGAAGTTTATTTGGTATCATACCAAATGCTTCCTTGTGTGTTTATATTTTTGTAGAACAAGAAAAAAAACAAAAAAATTGAGGAAGTAAGGTTTTTATCCTACGTTAAAATTTTGATTTTGTCCCTGAGTGGCTATGATGAATTTGGGGCCCATAGCATTAATTAAAACAAACTGTTTTTATACTGACACAGAGAAACAGAAATTGCAGTTAGTATAGGAATTCTAAACTCACCGTCATTGGTTTTATCGACTGGTTCACACGGCGCTTCACACTCTTGTATCTGAGGTGGCATTAAGTTTGCATGGCATTCACTAGATGGTAGACCAGTGTATGCACGACATTCAACACTTCGAACTTGTTGGCCTTTACCACACTCAGCAGAACACTGCAACAAGGAAAAGATAAAATATTTAAAACTTGAACTTGGGAGACACCTCAGTAATAAACCTGAGTAGAAACGGTACAATGGGAAGGTCGAGATTCATTCATTAACTTTCACTGCGACTTTGGGGGAACCTTGGTTAAGGTCTGCAGGTGCTTGTGTTCGACCGAGCCTGGTTTACACCAGGATAGCACATTAAATTGCCATTTGATAGAGAAACATGAATACGACTTCTGTGGCAAAAATGCACAATGTGTCAGCACTAGCACTTGCAATTTGCACATCAAAAAAAAGTCAGGAGAGACAACAGTGACATTGAATGTCCGTAACTGTCGCCTGGCACAACGGTACAATAATGTACTGTAGAAAAAATAAATCTTACCTTGCCCCATTCGCCGGTTTCCCACTTCGGTGGTGGACATCTGCCACTGTTACAAGGTGTTTTAGTGGGTAGTCTTGGAATAGAGCTACATGCCTGGGGATGAAATATTTGTTGCATATCGCTGCTCATACATTCAACATTGCGAGTTTTTTCACCTGGTCCACAGCTCGGTACACACTGCAACACAATAAGGAGAAGCTTTTTAACTTTTTTTTTTTCATATTAATGGGACAGTGTGTTGATAAATAATCACTTAATTTTCATAATTTTATGGCATTTGAGAAGAAACAATTTTGTGTCGAAAGAAATTTTCACTGACTTGGGTAAAGTAGACTCTCGCAAAACTGAAGTGGTTTATGTTACTTTATATGCATGTGTTGTGAGTCCCACCCAACAGGAAGTTTGAAATAGCAACCAATTTTATACTTCAAATGAACTTTTCTTTTTTTTGGACAATTTTCAAATTTGAACACAACACAAGCTATTGAAGTTGACTATGATCTCGTAGCTCTTATCCTCACATACTTGCATGCTAACTTTTGACGCAAAATGCCAACACAACTGATATTTCAAAAAATCCTGCTCCTCAGACTATAAGTACTATAATCACCAGTGTTTTCACTATTTTTTGTTATAGATCTTGTAACCAATGTAAATATACTGAGACAATATAAACATATAATGAGCATATGCGAGAAAATAAGACCTCACCTCTCCCCATGCATCCGGCACCCACATGGGTGGGCATTCTTTTTCACCACAATTCCGTTTAAATTCCGGTTTATGAGTAAAACACTCTTCATCAGACAACGTTTCCTGTTCATTCCGTCCACTTCTACTGATGCAGGCCACAGTTCGTGTTTTGAAGCCGCCACCACATGTTCTACTACATGGGGACCATTCTGTTATGAACCACCTACATTGTTAAATTGAAAAGTGTGTCACAGAGGTCATGGCACTTTACACTACTGTACTCACAGACTCATTGCTATGTTAGTAAGTATTGATTACCCATACTGCAATTTTAGCTGGAATTAATTTTCGCTGAAAAGACTTTTCGTGTGTTTCGTATTGAATTTTTTTCACTGATTTTTGAAAAGCTGAATGTGAAATATACGAAAAAAAAGGTATATTTGCTGCATTTTATTTTCACTGAATCATTCCTTCAGCGAAAAATAGTGAAAATTAATTCAGAGCGAAAATAAAGTATTTTACAGAAAACCATTATCTTAAATCTTGAGATCAAACTATTAGTATTGAGCTTTCCTTGATGATAATTTATAATTCTAAAATAGTTTTTCATCACTTAGGTATTATGTACTACTACTTGAAATAGACAACTGATACATACCTACATCGAATAATTTATAAGACGAAGGTACGTGATGAGGATCTCCCGAAGAAAAGACGCATGCATTGTGAGATAATTGGAAAAATGCAAGATAAATTTATATTTCTAAAAATCCTAATGCAAATTATTGACCGAGAAAAAAAACACCAGGTTTTATTTATCTCATACTATTCTTAGTAGCAACCAATAATACTCACAAAGGGGTACGTTGTGATACGTGTGGAAAAGATAGTAAAGAATATACAAAATATCTTACTCTGGTGGACATGGCTCTGTGTTGCATTCCCGTTCCAGGCTTACTCTTGGTCTTGCATTTTGATCACAGTGAGAAGACGGCACGTCGGAACCATCATCACTTCGAACGCATGTGAGCTGGCGAGTTGAGGTGCCTAAAATTGAAGATTATGAGTAATAGTTTCAGTGTTTTAGTTGGCTAAGGGGAAAAGATTGGATTGAATTGAAACCTAAAACAAATTAGAATACAGCCTTTGTACCAACCCAATCTGGTTAAAGTGTCAGAGAAATTGGTAATAAACCTTGAAAAAAATATGGCTGCCAGTTACGACATTATTGGGCAACACATATATTGACCAATCAGAAAGCAGCATAAATGCCATGTGATAATATCAACTACAGAAACTACAATTTATCACTTAATATTGCAATGCATTGTGTGATTTGTTTTTTTATTGAGTTTATCTCACCTCCAGCACATGTTGTTGAACAACTCGACCATGGATGCTGTTTCCATGAGAAGCGAATTTCATCATCACCACTACCACTTCTTGTGACTGGTATATTATATTTGTAGCTTACTCCAAGATTACTTTCTTGTAACAATAACTGGTGTAAAAAAAAATAATATAAATAAAAACATGCTTTACAGATTTAAACATTTTTTAAAACTTTAATAGGTAAATTTCACTTTCTTTAAAGGGAGACAGTCGTCGCGCCGCGTCCTGTTTAATATGGGACTCATAGCGACGTACACAACACGTGCAAAATACATTGTTTATTTACATGAAATTCAAACACACGCTATGCGACGACCAACGCGCTTTAAATTCTGAGTTAGTTTAACAAGTACTTACCATTACTATGAGGTCTTCATTAGTTGGTCCCAGGGCTGATAGTTTTTCTGCTTCTTCATTTGGTCTTTCATAAGAAAATACAGTGCCAGCTACATCATATGACCGTGGCCAATCAATGGTCCATTGACCGTTTATATAATAATCATCATTTATTGATTTTTTCAGTGCTATAGTTCACAGAAAATACAAAGAAAAAAATAAACTATTACTTCAACGAGCTGTCCTTGCTTTTCAACAAATTCAGCCAGCTTTCTGGTTATCTAAATAACGATCAGTTTTTTTTAACTTATTAATTTGTTGCTTTGCCCAAATTGAAGTGTGGTCATCATGCCATGTTTTAAATATGGGACCCACAGTAATATACAAATATACAAATGCATGTAAATTACATTCATTGTATACAAATTACATTGTTTGTTAAGTATAATATTGTTGTAATTATAAGTAGTCAATTTCTAGTAACATAGGACAAGGCAGTGGTCAAGTCAGTGTAAGTAGATGTGGCTGTCAGGACATGGGTTAATAGTCTGTGTCATGGGCTGTACCCTCTAAGTCAAAATGGAATTTCCCAAAGTCAAGTTAGAGCTGAGATTGCCAAGAACAAAATAAAATTCTATGTGGCTACTATATTAGGTGACTTGAGGTACACACTTACTGTAGAATATTTTATTTTCGCTTGGAATTTATTTTCGCTGAAGGGATGCTTTAGTGAAAATAAAATCCAGCGAATATACTTTTTTTTCTATGTCTCACATTCAACTCATCAAAAATCAGTGAAAATAAATTCCATACTAAACACCCAAAAAGCGTTTTTAAGCGAAAATTAATTCCAGCTTAAATAAAGTATTTCAGTTTTTTGTTTATAAATAAGGGAATTTCATCTTACCAAATTTTCTATAATTCAGTAATTATAGATGTTTTCAAGATCACTATATCCATGTATGTAATTTTTGTTGCATCAGTGAATTATTAGCATATGATATAATTATTAGTTTTATTGCAACAAATCTTTCTGCATCACATCGACTTAGAGGGCGCACTACTTGGGCTACAGTTAAAAGCCGCAAAGGAGCCATGGCCAGCGGAATGCCAGCAAACAAAGCATCAAGATAAATTCATTGATTACACTTATTTATTATAAATAATAATAAAAACATAAAATTAATACCAAGATAGTTTCTAGAAACTGCAACTTCTGCGATTTCAATATGAACGACACCTTTCGGGATTGTAATAACCTGTTGGTAAGATCCTCGAGGTAGGTCATCAGTAAATGTACCCAAAATAGTTTCACACGTACTACCATCGCCACCACAAACACGACATCGATCTTCAACGACCTCAGAGCCAAGAATTCTGTCACATCCAACATGCTGTTAATAAAAATCACACAATTTAATAAACAAATACAACTTTTGAAATATTGATTCATTTCGAAATTCTTTTAATGTGAAGCTTTCAGGCAATATATAATAAGCGTTGTTGTGAGTGTACATTGCACTGTCACAGCATCTTTTGCATAAAATCTCTGGACAACCAGCCTATAGGATAGCTATAAAACGTATGCTGTTTTAAAAATGAAATATTTTGGACCAGCTGTATTCAAGGAGAAGTCAAAAATAGCACACAAAAAAAAAACATTTACTAAAATTCATCACAAAATTAACAAATCTGATAGACGTGCACCCATGTACACAAAATATCAAAGCATGAAGGCAAGTTGCTTTCAAAAGAGAAAGCCAAATGTAATTTTTTTTTACCAAAATGAATTTCATCTCAAATATACAAATCTGAGAAAGCTACCCTAAGAGAGTGTCTGGTAAGTACATGTAGCTATACAACTGATGATTTTAAAAAAAGTCGAAAATGCAAAGGTGATACAGGAAGACAACTAAGTTGAACAATCAGTACCTAATTTATAATAACTCCAAGAAGACGGAAACAGGGTCTCACAAAACTGAACAATAACAATACCATGGTAACTGAAAATAAACTTACATGACATTGTCCATTTATGCAAATATCCAGAGAGTCTTTATTGCAGAGTGTACCATCAACGACTTGAGGAGCTCTCTCGGTGTAAAAATTGTAACCTACAGCTAGGCAGTTTAACGCACACTCTTTGACTTTAGTTCCTGTATAGGGTCGCCATGTATAGTACTTGTCATGGAACGGTAGGTTGTCAAACTCGGCACATTGCAGCTCACGATAATCACGCGAACTTTCTGAACATGGCTACAAAAATAGTACACGATATTATTGTTAGATCGATAAAAACTACTTTGTTTTTAATATCAGATTTATCAATACAGATGGACTAACAATTCTAGTATCGTAACGAATGAAGCTTTTGAAAAAGAACTATCAAATATGATTAATAGTTGAATGTTTTTAAAACAATTTTTAATTCAAAGTGTCCACTATTAGCTTTTCGTTATTCTAGTAGATTTGATGTAGCTTTTTGCTCATTAAAATACCAACAATTCTTACCGCTCTTTAAAGTTTCAATCTGTATTGTTTGGGGTTAGCTACGATCACTTTCAAAGCAAATGTATATTGTGATAGATACTAAACTTACATCAATATTACACGATTTGTAGCGTTTTCTGTCACCAAGACAATATTTACCACCATGGGAAGGTCTGAAAGAAAGATTTTGACAGTGTTATTATGTGAAATGCTAAAAATTCATCATCATTTGCAGTAAACCAAAAAAAGCGATGACCATAAATCTCTTAAATT